TCTCACATTATTGGAATATTTCACAAAAGCTGCAGTTCGCGCGATAACACATAACGATTTCATGAACATGTTCGTGTAGGATAACATTTTGTCCTTGAAATTGATAACAATGCGATTTGGTGAAGAATAAATCCACAAAAGTGTAAATATGATTTTCGAGATAAATGACGCGGCCGAATTCAAAGGTCTCGCTTCATGACTATTGGCGGACTTTTAGAAGTGTGTGAGCATTGTACCCGGAAATTTCTCGATGCACAAAAAAATAATCGCAACTGATATATCCACAAATACTATTTGCGAAGAGAAAACCGAAAGTTGCAGATAACCCACGAATCAAGATAGACTGGGGTTTTAGGGTGCAAGCAGCAGAAAACATTTTCCCAAGTGTGCAGCCAATGGCTCACTATGGAACTAGCTTTTCGTCCTCAGTGTGCAGAAAAATTTCACAAATGGCAATCTCATCACCCAAACGTCCATCTGACTAACGTAACCCTATTGAAGAAGGTGATCGATAGGCTAACCCCCTCTCGATTGGTCAGGCAGTCAGGCTCGAGCCGTTTTTCTCTTTCTCCATCACTAGCGGGTTTCTTCGTTTGACTAAGAGATTTTCGTTGGGGAATGTTCTTCTATACCTCTGGAACATTGCTTGTGTTTCCCATTGCCTTAGATACAGAACTACTCATTTCGGCTGGACATATCATTCACGTTTGAGTGGCGCTATTCAGGAAATACCCAAGGTGTTTATTCGTTCGCTGAATCGGGCCAAACCGGGAAAACTAATTACTGCGAAGAAAAGTTTGCGAAATCGGATAAGAGTGCTATGCGCTAGATTGAATGATGCGAGCTAATATGTCCATGTGATGTTCACCTAACACAAACGCTTTCTTGTCCTAATAAGACTCATTTCGTGTACCGCTGCTCCTAAGGACCCCGGGGTGCTCACTATTTTGGAACGCTCGCTCGAAAGCTGAAACATACTCACACATTTTTGTCCGTAGACACGGACTATGAAAAATTACGCACAATCACCATTGTCTGTGACACTCCTGTTCAGTGGGACTGAATTCCACAAGGAAACGCCTGAGTCACGTACAGACAACTTACGCTGGGTCAATCCGCGTCCCTCGAGGATTGATTATGTGAGCCTGTCTTCCGCGGGGTTGTCCCCAGGAGGGAATAGGAAGAATGACTAATCTACAGGTNACGGCTTAATAGCGCGGTTTTCTCTGTCACTCACGCTACTCCGTGGTACAGTATTGATGAGACAGATGTTCTATTGTCTGGACAGATTACGATCAGTGAGTGCATCAACACACGTCTGCAACAGAACGCTTAAAAGATTTTCTCACCAATCCGATGCATCTATAAACTGTGGACGATCTCACTGTTACGGTTAAAATCACGACTGAATGAGATAGATGATCAGGAGTGACAGTGAATCAGTGATCCAAGTTTTAGCATGCATGACTAACCCCAGTTCTGAATCCACTAGAAATACACCGGCAGGTTGATTCCGGGCAATGCGCAGTCCGAGTTCTTATACAGTTATCGTCTTCACAAAAGGCCGCACAATCACTGGTCACGCGTTGACGATCTCAGTACACAGGTGAGACACGCTGTTCACAGTAGATTATCTGTGGAGGGGGGTTCCGAACTACGTGCATGACATGGAAAATACAAAAAGCAACCATGAACCAAAAGGTCCTGGTGAGACATGCACACGAATCGTACTAAATTCAGATGACTGCACTCCTGTCTTCAACTACAAAGTCACCCTCACTTCACTTCATATCCTGTTTTTGTCCAGCTCAGTGTGACTAACGGAATTGCCAAACGGAATCTGTGAACTTAAATTAGCTGCACGTTGAACCCAAATAAGATAGGCGTGGCATGGCACTTTCCAACGTCAAAGTTCGATAGTTTGTCGGTGAATCTTACGTTAGATCCCGGAATACATTACTGGCCAAGAATCAAACCGTTTGATCATCACCATGTCTGCCTATGTCGGGGTAAGGTTTGATTTACTAAATTTTTTCCGCGATAAATAGTTTATAAAGCGACGCTTATTAAATAACATTAAGCACAGATTTAAAGAATGAGTATGAATAATTTTTTTAAATAAATAGTGCTAAACTTCGGAAATCAAACAAATGCAATTTGAGTTCTGAAATTCACAACATACGATATTAGTTCACCTGGGAGTGAATTTTATCGTATGCATCTCCACGAATCGGTGAGTCTTGAATCACTCTTAGTTATTGGTTGATATGCCAAGACTATCTAAACACTGTCCACTGTCATAGACCTCACACGAACACATCAAATGAATGCGTCCATTTCCCTCGTATTTTGTTTCCCTACATATATCATTTCTCAGTGAGAAATTTATGCCTTGGGGGAACCAAGTAACGTTTTCACCGTAAATGTTGTCATTTACTTCTTAGTTCAAACGATTCCAATTATCGATTTTTTTTATCCTGGTATCAAACAAAGATTTATCAGCCGATCTTTCTGATCTTCTACCCTCATTGAATCAAAGGAAAGAAAAGACGTAACAATGTTCTCCTCAATCATTGACTCTCTTTTTTTCGAGAGTCTGATTGTTGGACGAGATCGAGGTTAGGACGGAGTCGAGGGAGGTGGGTGGGTGCGTGAATGTTGACTTTGTTTTCGACCTCCAATCACCAATTGCATCAATGAACGAACAGAGTGCATATATGAACAACAAAAAGGTGGAAACCTTCCCCCGGGCTATTCACTGATGAGCGACAGAACAGGGAAAATGGGTGAGAATTTCAGCCGCACAAAGCGTATCAAGGCCAGATAAACTGTGTGATACGCTACCGATTTCCCCGACTACTTACCTTAGTTTGTACATCACAAGTCTGATGTGTAAGGGACTCAATGATGAGGTTACTAGAATTTCCCTCCCCGGGGGAATGTTTTCCCGCGATTTAAAGCAAATTGATCTGTATTTACATTGAAATTTTCCCACCAGCACCCATCTGTCCATGAATAAAAAAAACACCCAAACGGATCCGGAGGTGTTGCCAATTTTGCATTGTAGTTGCCTGTGCGAACCAATTCCGTGGTATAATTTGATGGGGGTTGCGTTTCTTTACTTGTTTTGATATCGTGATTCATATGGCAAAGGGCAGTCTATCCAAGATCGGATTTGAGCAATCCTTCCCAGTACAGCGAGCGCTGTTATGGTGAGCTAATTTATCTCGGAAAGTGTATACAGTTTCATCCGCAGCATGCAATACTAGCTTCAGTAACCAGCAGAATATAACACACGTGTCCAGTAAGTAAGCTCTCTGACTTCTGGTGACAACATGAGTGTTAACGATGAAGTGAGAGCTGAAAGAATCCCATGGATCTGAAACACCTCACAACTGCAGACCAGGTTGATCAATTCTTCCTTAATGAAGTTGATTTCCAGCTAATCGAGCTTCGTCAGTGGACTGAACTCGGTTTGTGAACGTTCTCAATGACATTTTCAACGTCGAGACAGAAGATCACATGAGAATAACAATAATAATGATGATATACAACTTGGCGATTTGTCTATCAAATAACCCCGTTCGTTGCTTCACCTCAACTCTTTGCTAACCTCTCATTATAGTGTTTTGTTTATGTTTACGGAAGAAACTATAGGTAGAATGAATCAACGAGGTTACCGAACGGTTGACACGGTGAAGGGGGGTTGTGAATAACTTAAAAGTATTGCATGTTTTGGCCAATAGTTTCAATCACAGCCCGTGCGTCATTGACCAGCTAGGCCTGGTGGGATTTTCAATGAATTGATATAACCGTCGTCGACGTAGTCCCATAGAACCAACTTCAATCAAAGCAACAGAGTGTTATTCATATCAATACTCCTCAATTGAAGTCATATCAAGAGTCACCAGATGATTCAATTATTAACTTTGTGCCTATCAATTTTAGCCACAATCCAGTCAGGCAAACGAACATCACAGGAGAAATCATCTCCAAAATGCCTATATAAATCACTTAAATTTCACAGGATCCCTCTTGTGTAAGGATATGTATAAGTGACGAGCTAATTCCATTAGATACTTCTTTTCCTCTATTTGGCCGTTCTACCAAACTCGTCGTTCACATAATTTGTGGTTTCAGATGGACCTCAATCTGTGGATATCCATGGACCGGAAGAGACGATCGATTTGCTCAAAGAAATACTGGATACACAACTGCGCCAGATTCAAACGGACCACGAACGACAAATCGCGGACCTCGTCCGCTCGGCGCACACATCCAACCCAGTACGTTTTGTTTACCAAGATCGACCGCAGTACTTGCTCTGTCTAACCAGTCCGTATTTCGATCGGGCACAAATACAGTGGTACGGTCTGTTAAACATCAGTGGTCAATGGCATCCGATTGCTCCGTTGGAATCGTTCACTAGGGTCTTGGCCACAGGGCAGAAGAATTTTATCCTCGCCTCCATGATCCAATTAGTGTCCACGAACAGCGAACGTACACCGCTTCGTTGGACTGCCATCAAGTGTGTGAACAAAGCGGACAGTTCGACGGACTATCCGGACGGGCCTGTGGATGTCACCAGTTTGGATTCGAAAAAGCCGGCGATGAAGTTGATCGACTTGAAGAGTTATGGTAAGTCTTCCGATTTTGGCGGGCTTTTATGTTGACCGGAGTATTGTTGAATAAGCAACAGAGAGATTTATTCTTATCGAAATTGTGACCACATTTCAGCGGATTGTATCACTGATGAATTAAATAAATTCAGATAGGGTGGCTCTCATAATCCCATGAAAACATGAACTTAGACGAAACTCTAGGAAGGCACAATAAAGCATTTGTTAGGCAAACATCTGATACTCAGAACTGCAACACATGCTCGCTGTAAAGAAAGTGGACAAACGGAACAACTGAATACACAGTAACAAGGTACACATTTCATTATACTAGAGGCCATTAGAAGCGCAATCGCTTTCGACTAAACGCCGCCAGTCAAATTTTGATCATCAAAAGAATGCAGTTCGTCGTTGTCTGATCATAGATAAACATTTTATCGTAATAATACCATGTACCGAACACCACCATCAATTTACTAGTACACCTGAATAACCTGGAAACCGGACCGAGCTCCTCAACAATTATCTTTGAAATAATTTATACCTACTGTGTAGCCTGTTTTCAGTTTATCCTAAATAACTGGCATTACTGTCCGGTTGCCTGTATACCGCACGTCTTGCCTCGTCATCCGTGTGCGTGCGTGCGTGCGTGTGCACGCGATTTTTATTTCGGTATTTGGAAAAAATACTCCCTAATTAAATCGTATAATTACGATCTTGATAACGGACTTTTTCCCGTTTCTAATAAATGGCATGGTAAGATTCCCGTTACGACGAAAGTGGATCGTGTTTTGGCAACAACAAAACAAAAAGCAATCTGCGCTTGATTGGAATATAAAATCCGAGATGGGAAAAACTTAAATCTTTCCCGATAGATGATTAAAGTTAGTCGATGTCAAGAAAAGTCTGCGTGATGTTTTTACAGTTTCCAACACACCACATCAGCCCACATTCAAAATAGCCATACAGTATTTTGTGGTCGAGAGTAAATTTACTCCGTAACATCAACTTCCTTCACAAGTTATTTTAACAGCATGCATGATAACAATACTAATGTGAAGACATGTATATATATAGCCATTGAAATCTAAAAAACATTTCAAATGTAATTGTTTTTTCCCGTCTCTTCCCGTTTCCACGAGCAGCACCACCTGGCGTACCCTCCATTTCGGGGTATAAGCACAACATGCTTTATCAAGAGGGGACAAACATCACACTGAATTGCGAAGCGCGGGCAGGATCACCCCCAGGGGAGCTTGTCTGGCTTGACTGTAAGTTTCGAATAGGCCGATCACTATTTTGACAAACGTGGAGTGTGCAAAATATAGATTGCGCACGTCAATGTTTCATAATCCCCTCATATTGCAAGCACCTAAAAATTACAAGACTGTATAACTAGGAGTAACTGTCATCAAAACAGAAACAAGACAGGTATCGTGAGATGTTTACATTTCGTTTAATCTTCTCAATCGCTGACTTAAAAGTCTGACTTAAAGCCAGCGACTGAGAAGATTAAACGAAACATTAACATCTCGCGAAATTTGTCTTCTTTCTGTTTTGATGAAGTGGATAAAGGGAACTCAATGCTTCAAATTTCTGAGGGTGATTGGTCAACTTTTAAGTACATTGTCTGGTAGGTGCAATAGAAAACACATCGAAACAGTTCCTGGGTACAAGTATATGAATGAACTGACAAAAGATTACCGGATATGCATGCCTGACGAGCGGCAAGAACCGCGAAACCGGTCGTGTGCTTCCAGGGAAATTTTGTCCAGTCATTCACATACTACTTATTATCACATCGAAACAGTGCTCAGAGGTGAGCAAAATGGTCTCCAGTGATTCGTAATCCTACCAATTCACCCCAATATATATATCACCAATTAAGAGTAGATGATTCTCTTCTTGTTCTCAACTCATTGTTGTACCCGAACAATCTGTTAGGCAGACCGAACGCTGCCCATCAGCACATGATATTGATGCTAGCAACAGAGACTAATAACAAATTTGAACAGGCAAGTTAGAAGACAAACACTGGGAGAGGAATTCCTTTCGTATACTCTTATCGGTTGCATACGTATAACATCGAACAAGGTAGATAAATGAAGCGAATTCAGAAATCTAGTTAGTATTAATCAAATGTGTGTGTTTGTGCGTGTGCGATTGTGTACAGTGTGTGCGATTGTGTACAGTGTGTGCGATGCACGTGATTGGTTACAATCAGGGAAGGCTAAGGGTAAGGGTCATACGCCTTTGGACGCACAGTGTAGGTTTGTTGTGAACGATCGATAATGCCTCGAGTATCCTTAGTCGGTGTTTGTCTCGATGACGTAATAAAATCGAGAATGCGTTCACAAGTTCCCTTTCAACCAAGCGACGTGCGATGGCAGAAGTTGGTCCACGTGATGCGACCAGAATCTGTAGTGTGGGCTGAGTCATAGAATTCCGCACATACTTGTGGATGTGTTCAGCCATTCTATATATAGTTCTATTGATCGTGGTGATCGGTCGGTTCCACAAGTAACGTGCATCACACACCGTACACAATCACACACGTACACACACACCGTTAATGCTAACTGGATTTCTTAATTCGCTTCATCTGTCTGTCTCGTTCAATGTTATGCGTACGCGATAGATGAGAGCATACGAAAGGAATTCCTCTCGCAGTGTTTATCCTTTGACTTGCATGTTCAAATTCATGACAGGATCCAAATAACAAATTGTCATTTTTGCATTATCCGTCGATAACAAACTTGAATGCAGCCTTCGGTGCATAGGAGACCACCTGAAATGACTAATACATTAGCTTTCGAAGTTTTGTATCACTCATGACATGAGGGGAATTGGGCTCATGTATGCAAAGAAGATCTGCAGTGAGGACATGCTGGAGCATGTGTTGCACGCTAATGGTGTCCGGAAAGCTCACTAAACCAAATAATTCAATGCACTGAGAATATTTTGAAGTGGACCGCTGCTCAATCTAAAGGCATTATGAAGTTCTTAGCAGTTCATTGGGGATATATCGGGGCCTTATGTGGTTCACCACTCCAAGTCCCGGTCGCCGGTTTCCACCACTGAACAGCAGGTCTCCGTGACTATGGGGTTCGCCCTGTCTGCTGTTAATCACACTAAGGTGTGTAATAAAAATGTCGGGTAAAAGAATTTAAAGTAGATTAATCAACTGCATCCTTAACATGTTCTGTGAAGTGAAGCTGTTCACAAGCAAACAAATTTTGCTTGCCGTGGAAGGACAAAGTACACGAATCTTCCATTTTATCTGTTTACTCCCGGGACAATGCCGTACGTACATAGGCCACACGTTCATCACACACTCATCCAAACCGATTTGTAACCAGTACCACGTACGGCTCTGAACACCGAAATGAATAAATCGTTCGCCAGCGCAGTGATTTCACTGAAGTGCGTGACCCCGGGCATTCCGCCGCCTGTTTGTAATCGACTATCGAGGTCAGTCTCAAGTGTTCTTCAACCGAACCATGAGGAATGGCCCCAGATAAAACCCAATCTACTTAAACTGCTTTGTATACATATTAATGTGATAAGAATAAAGCGACTGGCGGGAGGTAATATCTAAGAGGCAGAGAATCAATTCGGTGGGGTAAGATGCAAGAAGGAATTGCCACGATGGGTTTCGGGGAAGTAGGAACGAAGGAATGATCGTTAAAGAAATAGCAATAACCATCCAATCGTCAATTCAGATATGAGCTTATTTAAGAATCTTTTTATCTTAGTTTAATTATTGAATAAATAATATTTCAAACGATTAGCAGAAATGAGGCCTTGTCAATCCATTGCTATCTGAGATCATTGGGATTTGCAAAAAACTGTTGGTGGTTTGGCGGCTTCCCAATCCGTATTTCTGTGCCACAGCGCGCTCGTCATCTGGAACGCTTCACGAATTCTTCGACTGTGAGTGATCAATCGTTCTCACGCACCACACACTCAATGTGTGATGAACGGCTGATAACTGTTCCTCCATCCCTCATTATATCGAAACAGACAGAGAGAATTTCTTCAAGCCAATCCAAAAATGTCTTTATTCATCCTGATATATCTATCTTTCACTGATTACTCGCTGAGATACTTTGCTGTGTAATACGAATGCACGATGATCAGCACCATAAACTTAAAGAATTGAAATTAAATAGATATCTTCGTTTTACTGTATTTACGTATTATCTGTCTGATTGGGGATTTTATGCCAAGTATCTCACAAGATAAGGAATGACATACATTTAGATGAAGAGACAGACAAACAGACAGACAGACAGACAGACAGACAGACAGACAGACAGACAGACAGACAGACAGACAGACAGACATTAAGGGAGAATATTGCCCTCTTAGAGCGATTATTGAAGAGTACACGAGTTGCTGGTTCCGGGAGTGAGCGTCGTCCAATCCGTTAAACTTGGGATCAGTCTGTTAAATGCCTTGGTAGAAACTGTACAACTCAAAATCCACCGCGTATCATCATCGATGATAGTCATAGCTCTCCTAGATTATCTGCATAGAGCTTCGTCAAGTTTCCTTTTGTATCCCTCTGACACAGATTTGCATCTGCCATGCTCTTAAGTTCATGAGAACAGTGGTCACAATAACCGTATACTCTGGTAGCGAAGCTGAATTTAACAGAATTTTAAGGTTTTTATTCTAATAAAGGCATTATCCCCATACTTTCGATTTCCTAACTAGTTTTAGCTTTGCATACCAAAATTGTCGATTACAAGTACACTTTGTCGTGTCATTCTTGCGTACAAATTTTCTCATCGTACGACTCGAGTGGTAACCCAGATTTCTTTCATTGTGTGTATCTCGTAGGTTCAGCTGTTTCATTGTCTATCATCAGTTGACTGCTACTGGACAGAAATTAACCGCACACTTCCCGCGGGAAAAAAGAAGCGTTCGGACATATTGCATACCATAAAATATTTTGTCAACTGAGGTTTTCATGAATTCGTCGTGCACATAGCAAATGAAGCGTGAAAAAGCTAGGACGCAGTGGGAAATGAAAAACGGTCCGATCTGCTGCCTCGTGGCTTACTGGGTAGCATGCTTGCCTTCTGCCCATGAGGTCCCGGGTTCGATCCCCAGTTGGGTCGATGGATTCCCACTGCTGATGAGAACCAACCAGGTCGAAAACAGCTGTCCAGTGCTTCCTAGCTTTTCAGTTCAACCAGTATTTGCTATATACACGGCGAATTACCATTTGAAACCGAGGTTTTCATTGTGTGCTAAAATTGACTCAATTCAAATACTGCCCTTTAGCCGCTGTGGCGAAGCTGTCTGTGGAAAAAGACGACCAGTCCACTGTGATATCCAATACAGCCACGCACCTCGGTCCGGATGGAATGATTCGATCCAGTCTGAATATCCAGTTGACACGGGAACGAAACGGACGATTCTACAGGTAAGCTGATCATTATCCCAAAATCTCGTACACTAGAATAAATTGGTGGAACAGATAAGCACGTGATGAGAGAATTTGAAATATAGACGAAAGCAGAGTTTTGATGAAATTATTTCCTAATTTTGCGCAGTTCAAATGTCGGAGCGGAAGCGAATTTAATGCATCCTTATTCAATCGATGTAAATTTGAGAGAACAGAGGCAGCGGGGTGTTTGTTGATCGTGAGAAGGTTGTATTTCACGCAATCGCTGATGGACGCAGCTGTTAACTTTACCTTGGCATATCGATGCTTGGTTATGAATGAAAAGATGCTCCCATTGAAACTACTCCATTGATTTTATTGACACCGAGAACATTTCAAATTTCCAAATGGCTGCTGAAGTGCGTGCTGATCTGAGAAAACACTTGAGAATACTTTATTTTAATATTGGTAATTAAAGTTCATTTTTTGCAAGTTATACTTGAACTTTCAATGCACTAGCAGCTGTATCGATTACATATTGATATATTTCGAATCTTTCATTTCGATCGCAACCAAATCCAATATCACATTCACTGTATTCTTAGGTGAACGTACTGTCAGTGAATTTTGAAGTAACAAAGTGTCCATAGCCGATTAAGAATACTGGGCAACTGATTCCACTCTTCCGGGTCTCTTCATCGATGCTTATTAATTTGGTTCAGTGCCCAAACTTGACGCGGAAATTTGGGTGAAAGAAGTCTTAAACCCTGCACTCTGGGCATCACAATTGACAGTTAACTGCTTGAGATATTGAAAACCTAATGATTTTAAGTACGTCGTTATTCGCTCAGCTTTTCTGTGGTCACAGGAATCGGGATTCATGAGTGGACTATGCTAGAACTTTCAGTCTGTGTTAGAACGAGTAAAAATCCAAATACGACCGAGTTATTTGCAAAGATGAATTTGCTAAACTTGATGCTTGAACTTACACAGGCTGAGCTGACACTAACAGCCGAGCCATCCTCCTCTCACCCGAATGAAAGAAATAAAGAAGATTTCAAAGTGGAATATGTCAAACGAAGGGTGAACTGATAAGCTAGGAAGCACTGCACAGCTGTTGGTTGGGTCTCATTAGCAAATGCGAATCCATCGCCCCAACTGGAGATTAAACCCGGGACCCCACAGGTAGAAAACAAGCACGCTATCCACTCGGCGACTGGGTATCTGATCAGACCGTTAATCATTTTCCATTTCCACGATAAAGCACAACCGATCTTTGCGAGCTTGTTGCGGGCCACAGACCCAGCAGTCATCTCCGGGGTTATGACTCGGTTGGAAAATGAGAAACGGTCCGATCAGCTACCCGGTGGCCGAGTGGGTAGAATGCTTGCCTTCTGCCCATGAGGTCCCGGGTTCGATCGCCAGTTTGGTCGATGGACTCGCACTGCTGATGAGACCCAACCAGGTCGGAACAGCTTCCTAGCTTTTCAGTTTAAGCTTCAATTGCCATATACACGTTGAGTTTTCTTTTTGAAATTGAATCAAATCCTCCATTACTCAAATTACTGGAAGAAGAGTCAAAACCTGTGGACAAGGCCAGTCAGCACCCACAGAACCATTCTTTTCAGTTGACTGACTTCTATCACGTTTTTCAGGCAAATTATGTGGTGTTGGGCCCATACTTGATCTATCTACCCAACAGGAGGGTGACTCATGTCAGTCAGACCATAGTGCGGAAAATATGGTAGACCGACTTGACCAAAGTTAGAGAAACAAAGGCTGCTATCCAAAATTCGATAAAGCATTGGTGAATTTTCATTCAATAAATGACTCACCAGCGAATTGGTTTCACATCGAGCAGAAACAAATTACATTTTTAACGTGGCTGAGGCTTTTTCGCCTCCTGTATGAAATTCGTGGGCAATAGCCGGGACAGGTTCCATGCCAGGCATAACAGGAGCGGTGGGCATTCGTCCGCACAACTCCCCTCTGTGTGGCCAAAAACAATTTGTGC